TAGGAAACAAAACTTACAGGTCCCAACAACTGCCATTGACACCAGAAACGCTACTATGCAATGACGATCCATCTTGTTATTGAGTGTGAGCCAACTGTGAGAGCCAAACCGACACGACAGCAAACTGAGAGCAGTGGTGCTGTTGTCCCAACCACCAAGCAACCTTATATCTTCCAGGGTATATCCTGCTTTCTGCTCATTCTAGAATTTGTTTTGTGTAAAGAAAGTGGGCGAATAGCATAGAATCTTTGATGTTTGAACACAATACATCCTATTTATGTATATTTTGCTTAATCAACATTTTGGTGAGCGAAAGACCCCCCCCCCCCCCCCCCCCCCCCAACCCCCAACCCCTTACCACAATCTTAGTTTTTCACCCTACAGCAATTCTTTGTCTCAACATATGTTAGCTTATCTTAATCCAGTGTTCTTCAAATTTTTTTTCCACCTGGGAACCTGTCCAATGGGATCATTTTATTTTTGCGGATTGGCTCAGTTTTTGGCCAGAAAGAAAAATACATGTAGATTACAAGATATTGTGTGCTTTTTCCAGAATGGAACTGTCGGCATTACACACAGTACTGTCTTAAAGCAACATTAGGTTGCAATATCCATGTTTTTTCATCGGTGCGACTCTCGTACAGTCTGAAAGTCACAAGAACTTTAATTTTCGTTTAACAATATTCGAGCCCTGCTACAGTATTGTTTGTATTCAAAAGCCATGAGTTGTTATGGATATCGCAACGTTTCGGCCTTGATTCCATTGTAAATACCGTAAATCTGGGAGGAAATGTGGCTTTCCTGCCTACCCCCGGGATTTAACCCGGACCACAAGGAAATCGTCACCCGGTCTCCGCGCAATCCGGTTTAGCCAACTACGCTGGAGAGCCGGGTCTGCTACGTTATAGATTTGACTGTCAAATGATTTGACTAGCCTCTCAGCATTAGAGTTGCACTTAATGTAGATAGCATTGCATGTTCTGAACCTGTTTATACAATTACAACTTTAAGTTAATGCGTCTGGTTCTAAGAGAAATTATATTTATTTGGATGGAGCGTTGTTCCTGAAAGACTAAGCGCTACATTAATATTTCTTCGACTTTTTTTTTTAAATTACTGACGTGGCCATTACTCTCGGCGCTACTTTGTTTTTGTAACATCCCTAGTAATGAAGCGCTTACATGATGTAACCACTACATGACTGGGCAAAGAAAAGGACGTAGGAGTGTTTTCGGCAGACCATCTGGTAAATTTCCCCTGCCCGGTGTCTGTCTGCGCAGCACATGTTGAAGAACCCTGCCTGAACTCACATTAATTTAAGGCGTCTCACCGGTCAGAGGTCGTACTTTATCAATTACAATGTTGTTGTTCCCCCCCCCCCCCCCCTTTTTTTTTTTTTTGTATTTTGAAATACTTTGTGACCCACATATTTTTAATAAAGCGTAGACCGAACCCGGATCTGACATTCATGTCGGCAAATCCTGGGGAACAGGAAAACATTCTGGAATTTGGGTTTTGTTATTTTTTTAATCAGGCAGATTCATAGTCATGGATGAAATGTTCATTTTCTGGTTCGTGAAACAAAGCGGATTGGAAAGCGATTGTTGTTGTTGTTGGTGAGGATGTTGTTGTTGCTACTGCTGCTGTTGCTCTTAGTGGGGGGGGGGGGGGTGGTGGTGGTGGTGTCGCCGTCTGTCTAAAAATTATTTCATTGATTTGATTTGATTTGATTAAAGAACCGACATCACAGCACTCGGGGCATTCCCATAAGCGCTCCGTCCCCATCTTCATCAGCCAGTGAAGAGTTCCGATACCAATGGTGCGAGTAGCTTTCTGATTAAACGTCCGCCTTTCCTCTGAGCCTCGAGCTTCTGCCAGAACCTCTCGTCACACCCAACTGCTTCAATCTCACCAGACTGTGGTGATCCATCTGCTCCTCCGAATTGTACACGCTCTCCCACAAGGCAGTAACCACATCTGCCTTATCATGTATCAGTATTCCACCAAGTTGTGCAGAGCCAGCCAGTCTGTCCGCCTGTTCATTTTCCAACACCCCGGCGTGACCCGGTGAAAAAATCCAGACAATACTCCTCACTCGTGTCCTCCGCAGCGAAGCATGCCACTCTGCACGAAGCATACCTGTTCTGATCTTCCTCAGCATGCTTTCTGAATCAGTTACAATCACGATGTGTGTGTGTGACGTGTTCTCTAGCCAGCGGAAAGCTGCAGTGACCGCCTCCACCTCCATTCTTAAGCTGGATGTTGTGGTATCATATGCGAGGCTTTCCTGCACCAAACGTCGACCATTAACTTTTGCTAAGAAGCCCCAAGCACTTCTTTTGCCTCTTGACACTGAACCGTCTGTGTAAATGATCAAATCCTCCGAGCGAGCATTATCTTGAATTAATTGCTGATTTTCCACCTCTGTGGTACCTGCTGACCAGTCTCTGCATTCCAGGCTCAGCGTGATTATGAGTCTACACTTTGACCCACTCCTCTT